AGATTGAAGTTAAAAGAAAGGAAAAAAAATTATTGCATAGGTCACATTCTGGTATCACTCAACATGATATATATCTATCGAGGACATTTAAGGGTAGTCTAGAGAGGGTAGTCGCATGTATGGCAAACTGGATCAGTTCAGGCCGCTAGTCTGTAGAATTAGTAATCCATGGGGTCTATCAGTTCTTTTCACATTGTTGTACTGCATTATTGACTTTCACAAAAAGTACAAATGTTCTGTAATAAGTGACTTTCCATGAGACAACCAAATGTCTATGCTGAACTAAAAGTAAAAGCTATTGCAAACCACAAAATAGAGATAAATTACATTTGTTTTAAAAGGGCATAACAGTGGAGTATGGCTGCTTCAAGACAGTTTGCTCGGCTGTAACACAAATAAATGTCCTGCCAGTATTTTTAATTCCCAGTGACCACTTCAATACCCATATGCCTGTTTTTTTAAAACCTGAACTTCAAGCTTGAAACTGCAATAATGTGTATGGATCTGTATGTTGCTGAGAAAGGACACCCTGAGGAAAGTTTACTAGACTAGAGGGGCATGAGTAAATAGAACCTGAGCCTACTCAGAGGTGTACTCTCCTTGTACCCCAAAAATATGCTTTAATTACTACTTGTAGGCACACAAAACCCCTGGCACAATTGGTTTAAAAAAGAAATAGAAACTTTTCCATTAAAGTGTTACTAAACCCACAACAGTAAAATCAGTCTGTATATACAGTAAAGCATGCTTGTTATACTCACTGTGGAACCTAAGGGGTTAATCCTCCATATGTGTGTAAAAAAGCTGTTTGGTCCTGTCTACTCTGATCCTCACCTTCTTCTCTTCCCAATCATTCTTCCGATAGCACAGAGCTCTAGGAGTTACTCTGCACATGCACAGTTTAGTGTGTATTGCTAGAGAGTTTATTTTTGTTTGGGGGGGTGCATGTGATCAGCACAGGGCCAATCGGCACTGTCCAGACAGAAGGTCAGGGGTTATATAGCTCCTCATAGGACAGTCATAGCAGAATGAAAACTCCTCCTACAAGCTTTAACCAGTGCTCAGCTGGACACTGATAGAAGTAACAAGACTGCTATATACTGCTGATGAGGAAAGGTATTTTAGATTTACTAAAATAATTGCATTTCCATGTTCTCTGTACTGTGGGAGATCAGATATAGTGAATGCAAGGTCATGGGTTTAGTAACACTTTAAATTTGCTTTTCTGTACACAGAACTCTATGTTAAAGAAGAAATTTGTTCAAATAGCTGGGGGGTTCTTACCAACCAACAACTCTTGAGACAATGAACACTTTTGTCAGGAGTATGTAATGAAAAATATAGCATAGAGAGTGTGGTGGTCCACAGTATGTAATATAGAACATAACATATAGAGTGAGGGTCTCCTGCTTAAAGCAGTGCTAAACCCAAAAGCAAACATTTATTATATTGCAGCTTCCCAATTCTTAGATGTGATGTGTTAAGTGTCTGTTTTTCCTTCTATTTTGTTCTGGTGATTCAGCCAGCAACCCTGCTGTCTTTCAGAAGCTGAAGCTGTCCAGCAGAATGTATGAGTTTACATGGATTATTATTTATTATTATACAGTATTTATATAGCGCCAAAGGCTATGCTCAGCGCTGTACAGTAGCAAGGGGGACAGAACATGAGACAACACAGTAACAATACAATACACGAGGGGTTCGAGGGCCCTGCTCTTTCTAGTTTACTATCTAGGAGATGAGATTATTAATTTACCACTGACAGGGGTGATTAAAATGATCAGCTTTTGTTTATTCATGTAAAACCTTTATTCCAAAAGAAAAAACTGTTTGCTGTATCTGATTATAAAGTGTGAGCTGGAGTTTGGCTTCAATTTGTTATTTGTATTCAAATCTGCTAATGCATTTAACACCTCCCAGACTGACAATGCTGCTGTCTGCTGTGTCCTGGCTCATTCCTCTGGAGTGGTTGCTCAACGAATATGGTATGTTACTGGCCAGATCACCAAGTGAAAATGGAAGAGAAAAGCCAAAGAAAAGAAAACTGATGCGGCCATATGTAATAATTAGTAAGCTGCTATATATTCAATTTTTGCTTTTTTGTTTAATACCACTTTAATGGTAAGTGTGGACGTTGCTGACCAGGGGCATAGAGGTGAAGACTGGGGCACCAGGACTAAGAATGGCCTTGCTTCTGAGCTTTTTTTATGCTTATGACACATACACATGCAACATGCTAATCCTTAGAGGGAGCATTGTTTGGTAGATCCAATAATAATTATTTAAGTGTATCCTGGACTATTTTAGGCCTGCGTCTTACTGCTGAACTTTTTCAAGTTTTCACTGGTAGCTTACTCAAGAGAGGGTTCCGTGTGCCATAATATCTTTGCCTTCTTTGAAAGATGTATGCGGCATGCACATGCTAACCTCCATAAAGCGTTTATGGTAGCATGCCTGCTGAAAAGGATGGAGCTTAATGGTATGAGAAACAAGGTATACCATTATACACAAAAACACACATAACTGGAAAAAAATGTGTTACACTGCCAAACCTTATTTTCCGCCATATATTGTTTGCTTCAGACTATAGATATTCCATAAACAATAACTGTAAGTAACCTGTAGAACTATAGCTACCAGAAATGGCAATAGCAGAAAGTAGATCTTTTATTGGGCAAAACTGATCTTGTTAAGTTTAAAGACAGTGGCAACTGTCTTTCCGGGTGGCCTAATTATGCCTAACTAGTAAACTTTATGAGAAACTTGAAACTGTGTCTCGTCTTGCAGGTCAGAGTCCCTTTAAACAAAAAATGATAAGATCAGTATCATTTATTCAACACCGCTCCAGCCAATTTCCCATCTAAACACTGTACTGGGTAAAGTTTCCCTTGATATTCACAGATGATTGGAATTTGCAGCTGCTGTTGGCACTTTGAAATCATTCATTTCAAACATGACAGATTATTTTGGTTGCTGTTTGAACCAACAGGACAGTGGACAACAAAAAGGGAAAGTTAAAGTGAGCCTGTCCCCAAATCTAACTTCCACAAAATCTAGCTCTTTGAAGCCCAGGATCCGAACACTCAGCCACTGTCAGAGGTCTTGGCTCTAACATGCCCTTTGATGTTCCACTAACCAATAGGGCACTTTTTGTTGACCATTGATGTGCTCTGCTGAATAAGTCTGAGTGCTAAAGGTTTTATGACAGCTAAAGGTGCATGTGCTGTCTGCCTTTATGTTCTGCTATTTTCAGTTTTGAGAATCCAAAGCAACAAAGAGAAAAGTTTTTTGGCAGCTAATAGTACCACGCAGGCACATTTTATGCACTATTATTAATTGGATTTGGATTTTGTGATAAGCAAGTATTTTTATTAAGGAGAAAAGAATAATGTTTGTCATTTTCACTAATATTATTACCAGTTGTGGTAGAATATGCTTGTGGCAGCTAGCCAATATTTGGTTTGTTTACACTGCCAATTTACACTGCCCTGACAGCTGCCGCACAATAAACCACATCAGTTTAGTGTGCGGCAGCTGTCCTTTCTGGCTGTAGTGAGCTGGCAGTAGGGGGCAGTGTGATGCTTGTTTCAGTACATCACAAAATTCCATTCTTTTGACTCAACTTTATTTGAAATGTACAAAGTGACACTACATTTATGTTACTGTACAGCAGCGCAAAAATGACATGCAATCCCGTCCTGTTCACTGCAATAAAATGCAGCCTGTCATTTTATTGTAGTTCATTATAGTGCAACTCTGGGCTGCATTGCAGTGTAAATAGGACACACAGAAAACAGTTGTTTTCTGTGTGTCCTAGTTGTGACTGGTATTCTTCCAGTGTGGAAAAACAATGGTCACCACAGAGCGGGGTTTATTTACTAAAACTGGAGAGTGCAAAATCTGGTGCATTTCTGGAGAAACCAAGCAGCTTCCAGATTTTATTGCCAAAGCTTAATTGAACAAGCGGAAGTTAGAAGCTGATTGGCTATCATGCACAGCTGCACCAGATTCTGAGTGCTCCACTTTTAGTAAATTTACCCCTGTATATGAATTGAACCTAAGTTTCAGTTTCAGCCAAACCTGTTTTTTCTGTTTTGGATAGAATGAATACTAGTCAAAACCTCTGTTATATTTTTCTTTCTGTCATCCACAGAGTGTCACCAGAACAGGGAAGTGAGGGGGAGTCTTATTTGATGTGAGAACCTTAAAAAGATTCTAATTTTTCTTTGGTCTTCTAAAAATAGGGTGATTGAAGCTTGCAAATATTTCCCCTAACTTCCCATGCGAGTAACAGAAAAACAATTTCCAATGGGGACACAAAAAGCTAATCTTTTGTCCAATGGGGGCACAAAAGGTCTAAATCTTTACTTGTCAATGACATGCTAGGTAGTCCAAGTTGGGTCATTTGTAAATTGATGTTCCCCAGTGCCCAGCATGCTATGAATGATTCCATCTGATTTAGCAAATAACATTTCAAAAGTTACTATGACCTAAAAACTAACTCCTCTCAGCTACCACAGATGGGTGCTAGTGTTTTCTGCACCAGCATGGAGCTAGAAGGTGATGTGAGACAGAAGGGTACTGATATGCATCTTACGAAGAAGTCAGTCAAGCTTCTGGTGGCATATTGTTGCAAGTGCTTTACCATTTGTAAGGCATTATTTAATTATTGTTACTTACATAAAACTGATCTTAATTTCTACAACTTTTATTGGAGTCATAAAAAATACAAACCAAAGAAACAAAACATTTTAGTGCAAAACACAAGGCTCATCGTGATCATCTTTCAATGTAGATAAATAGACCTTTATACTATAGAAAAAAAAAATAAAAAAAGAAAAAAGTTAATCAGTATTTACATATAATTTATTTTGCCTTGCAGTTGCCTAGGGTTAAAATGTTTCAGCTTCTTGAGGAGTGCACATTGCTTTGTACACGTTTAAAAAAACAGCAAATAACTCGGCAAAGCTTCTTGTGTTCCGCTTTTACAGACTTGGACTTTACCGAAGTGCTGTAGGTACGTCCACCTGCAAAATAAACAAGCGATTGTCACACAGCCTCATAATTGAAATATTGTTAAAAAAAAACTATCTAGGATAGGTCTGTTGAGAAATATTCAAAGGAAGCAGTTATGGAAGACCCCACCAAGAAATAAAAACAGTTTTCCTTTCACATCTGTTCGTATATAATGTATTAGAATACAGTATTATTACAGAAGAAATCTCCTGTAAGGTACATTTAAACTGTCCTATTTGAGTTGCACAGCATGTTAAATACCTTTAGAACAAGTTTGAAAGCTATGCTATTTGTATTCCACTGTTTCCATTTTGTGGGAAAATTATTTAAATGCAAAGCTACTGCCTGTAGTACATCTATAGATTTGTGAAAAATTTAGTCGAAGATGACCTGCATTTCACTAGACTACATTTCCGATGACCACTGGCATATTTTGGAAATAAGTGCTGATAATGATTTTTGCTATTTTGCCCACACATACCCTGCATTCTTAGGACAGGTGGACTGCCGATAATTGCCCATCCATTCACTCAGCAGATGCTTCCATAATTACATAGATTAATGATATTCCTAAAATTCTTTCTAAAACCACATACATTTGCAATGACTAGTTTGAACAAATGCAAAAATGGAATGCATTGTATGCTTGGATTAAAAAAAAACCAATCAATATGTCAACACCGTTTTTATCCTAAATGACATTAAAGTTAATTTGTCATGAGAGTATCATAGGGGCTGCCATCACTGGCCTCCTGAAAATGTTAGTTGCCTGGCTGGTCTAATATTTCAGGTGAAATCAGGCTCTGCACGCCACATTTGCATCTGTGATGCTGGCTTGGCTCATCTCCTCTGAAGCAATTGATTGTACCAGCAACAGGAATGCTGTAAACCAAGTTGCAAAACAATCTTCCTTTATTAAAATATCGAGCAGGAACATGTTCTAGTCTGACATGTTTCTCACTAGGCACAGCACAAGAATCTTTCTGTGAAAAAGTGCTGAGCCTGGTGCGAAACATGTCAGACTAGAACCCCTGACATGACTGTTGGCTATTTTAATAAATGAAGATTATTTTGCATCTTGTGTGAAGCACTACTGTTGCTGGGACAATTGCCTGGCTATTCTGACTGACCTAATGTAGATTGAAAATCCAAATAAACTACATTTAGTTTGTTAAAGCATCATAAGCAACTGCCAGTTTTTTTAAACATAGAAAACACTGTTTCTATTTTTTTCATCTCAGTCCTGCTGACCTCCACTTTCAGCCACTATCTGTCTAAATGAACTCATTCCAATGGCTGCTGTATGTAATATAAGGACCGGCCTACTGATAACAGCAGCTGCATAATAAGCTTTGCTTTACCAAAATTGCATTTTGCAGGGTGACAACACAGGAGAGCAACTGAAAAACAGGGAAAAAGTATTGTCATCCTATAAAAGTAGGTGCCTAAACAAGGACCCTGATGGCATGATCACCAGGAATTTTTTATGAAAATCTAGCTTTTAAAAAAAAAAAATAATAAAAAAAAAACTTACATTAACATTTTAAATATTGTTTCAGATTTTAGTGATTACATCTACTTTAATGCTTTTTGAATCACAGACTGTGAACAAGCATGATGTAAAAGAGTGCCAGCAATCCTTATCTTTTTACATTGACAGTGCATTAGCATGATGATCATTGTTGATTGGATTATTGTGCCAGTGGTGTGTCAGACCCCTGGAGAACTGAACCCTTGCGCTCTGTGTTAGAGCAGTGGTCTGGCTCTCCAGCATGCTGCAAGCATAGGGTAGCTTGTACAATATTAAGCATAAACACATACTCAAAAGCATGTCAGCCTTGGCAGTTCCTGCATTTCACAAGTTTCAAGTTATACAGTAGCATACTATAGGATAGTAAACAAAGTTACAGCTTGCAACCACAAAAAAAGTTTGGTATTGCAGAATGTCTTTATGTTTACACCAAAGAAACATAATCAGCAGAAGCACTCTGTTCTGGCATGGTAAAGGCACTTGCATGCCACGCCACAGTCAGTGGTGTGTGTCTATGTGTGTGCACATTCACATGAGCATGCAATGAAATACCCTAACACATCAGACTATTTAAACGTACAGCTGCCAACACAAATGATCTTCAACTATCTTGTTTCCTATGCATGTTTGATCTGGTTACCTGACCCAGACTGTCCTGATCTGACCGTGATGTTACTCCTGGTTCTGAACTGGCAGTTCCTCTTTGCACCTGGTTACATTCTTATTGCTGTTTTGCCTTAAACCTAATCTTAATCTGTCTTTCATCTTTTCTATTCCGGTTACATAATGCCCACTACTTTATGCCTCATACAACATTCCATGGAGCCATCTTCAGCCTGATACTAGGGATTATTACAGTCAACTACGTGGTACCATACCTACTTTTTTCTCTTCCTCTATTCCCTGTATCAGTATTCACATTTATACTATTTGGCCTAGGTTCACATGTGTGTGTGTATGTGTTTGCATGCACGTATAATAGGTACAGTAGCTCATTCATTTGAATAGGCTATTATATTTAAAAGCAAATAAATATGTGCATCGCTCTGACTTTTTTTAGTTGACTTCATTGATTGGCAAGCATAACTACTAGTATTTGCTTTGGCTTTATTTTTGAGAATTACATTGTTGATTGCTATGTTAAATAGTTGCAAATATAATCTTATATACACTTACTTAATAAGGTAAAGCTCAGTATGCAAGAGACCACGTATTTTAACAATCTTAGATCATTCTGCAAAAACTGTCCAGTATGACTGGCAATTTCAAAGCCAGAAAAGCAGTCAGCAGGAAAAAACGGCATGTACCGGGACATATAAGTCTTTCAGTAGAGGATGCCAAAAGAATAGAATCATGACTTTAATATATTTTATGGCCTGTGGGACAATACCAGGTTATCAAACAGCATTCTGAAAATCAGATATGTGGAAATATTATTAGACATACCTTCTTCAACTGTCTTACACTGCTTCCCCTGATAGATTCCATAAGGTCATCATGTGCAGATCTTTGGGGTGTAGGTGGCCTAGAACCCTCTTCTACTTTCTTTTCTGAAACTGATCTCAGAGAATTTTTTATTTCTTTCAGTATATTGTTGTGTTCTTTTTTACTCTTTTTGCCTTTTGTTTTTATCTGTCCATTTTGAATTTTCTTTGCTGATCTTTCATGCTGCTTGATGACTTCAGCAATATTCCTGGTGGGAGCCTTTTTTTCCTGAACCACTTGCAATAATGGAGGGGCAGGTGGAGGAGGTGGTGGGGGTGGTGGAGGAGGTGGAGGAGGGGCTAAGGTGATGGTAGCCTGAACTTTTCTTGTTGCTTTTGGTGATGACCATGGTGAACTCTTGGGAGAAGGACATGGTGAAGCCCCTGGAGTTCCCCTCTGTAATGTTTTGGTCCTTAAGTTAGATGAAGGATCATAACCAGATTCCTTTTGTTCCTGCATTCTTTTCTGTCTCTGTTTGTCCATGTTTCTGGTCAGTATGCTTGTCATAGACATACGTGGTCCTGGAAGCTCAAAGTGATAACCTAGTTTGACAATACTTGTATTGTCTTTTAGTAATTTCACTATTTCCATTTCCACTTGACTTCCCATGATGTGTCTTTGATTGTGAAACCTCAGTTCTGTCAAGATATTGTTAGAATACTGAAGAGCTCTCATAACGGCCAATATTCCTTTCCCTGTGATAAAGTTTGATTCTATGTTTAAAAACACGTGATACTTCTATTAACCCTCAACATGTTAGCGATAGCTAATGCCACATTGTCATCAGCATGAGTGTTTGCTAAACTAAATATTTTAACACTGGTATTGTTTTTCAGAGCTTCTGCAAATGCAATTAAAGTATCAGCTGTTTATATTCTCAATGTTATTGAGGTTCACTTCAGTAGTGTCAGGATCATTGATTTTAATATTTTCAAGTGCTTCTTCGATAACTGTTGGATTTGAGAGAACAGGGCCAGGCAATGGTTTACTGTTTACAGTATCTTCTGTGTGTCTGCTGTATTTATTACCACTTGCACTGAATCCATTGCAAGTTGGCTTATCCAAAGGAACTCCATTGCATTTTATAGAGGGAGTTTTTATGGGAATTTTTATAGCTTCCTGCTGCTCATTTTTGCTACACATCACCTCTTCTTTGATCTCTTTGTCACTCTCTTCGAATTCACTTGCATATTCTTCCTTTTTGTCATCATCTTCTTCTTCTTCTTCTTTTTCTTCTTCTTCTACTTCTTCTTCTTCTTCTCTTTCTTCTTCTCTTTCTTCTTCCTCATCCTCATCTTCTTCTGTATAAACCTCTTCCGATACTTCACTGTTGCTTCCTGCAAAGTCATCCTCTTCAATTTCCTCTTCTTCCTCCTCCTTAGGATTCTGTAAAAACAAATATAATTCAGTTTTTGTTTCCACAATCTGTCAAGGGTAAGGAAATCCCATTATAGTTAAATGATCTATCCATTCACACTTTACTTATTTATTTACTTCTTTAAAATAATGGATCAACAAACTAAGGAATAATCCAGTTGTATAATACATCAAATTTGTGGTAGACAAAATTTCTACATTTATAAAATGGTTTTGTACATATCTTCTTTGTTTTATTTGGTCAAAATTAAAAAAAAAAATTGAGAACAGTTTTTCAACTTTTTTTATTTGTTAGATAAATCTGAACTGTTGCATGGAAAAAAATATAGTCTTCCGTCCAGCCATTACATATAGCTCAAGCTGTGTTGAAACCTGTTGTTTACAGAACTCAATAAGACTTCAGAGTAGCGACTCATCCCTTATCAGACAGCTAAGTCTCAGGTTTCTATTAAACAAAGGCAGCTGCAAAGCAAGCTGTTCTGCTGTCCATCTCTTTAGATAACTCATACTGGTCTGGAAACTTGGTCACTTATTAAATTAAAAACCATTATATTTTAATTTATAGTACAACCAACTCTGAGTACATTTTTTTTTTAAACACAAAACCAAAACATTTTTTTTTGTAGTATTTGTAACATTTTATTGCTGCATGTGGAAACTGTAATGACCATTGCTAATGTTAGTTAAAAAAATAATATAACATTACTTAAAAATGTACAGATCTAAGAGTAATCAGTTGCCTTTAGTGCAAATTCACTAATTTTGGGCATTCTTCACACATTTTCATTCACACAGCACTTTTAATTACACATTAAAGTCTATAGACCATCTATCTATAGACCTTTTATCAAATTTTCTGAAACTGGTTTTTGATATTCAGGTGATTTCACTACAAAGTGAGCATGGTTTTCAATATCTGAGAAGTGAATGAATCAGAAGAACAAATTGTGAAGGAGACCATAGACTTGATGACTAATGTAGCAAGCAGCAAAGAACATATTATCGTACTCCTGAGCCTGAACTGAGATTAAATGGTGGTTATATATAGAAGCAATATAATAAGCGTTGATAACTACCATGTTTGGAAAACAATCAAATACCAGAGACAAGTGCACGGCTTTGTCTGAGCACAGGGAATGCACTAATGGATCAGTTGTGGACTTTCTTTAGAAAAAGTTTCCACTTATCAGATGTTTAAAAACAGCTGACATACATATTTTAATTGGAATGCTGCTGACAATTTTATTCAGGATAGATAGATAGATAGATAGATAGATAGATAGATAGATAGATAGATAGATAGATAGATAGATTTCTGTATATATAATTTCTTTGTGAACAACTAATAATTGTTTAGACAGATTAGATAATTATGTTAGGTGTCCTGGATTACATATCAGTTGTTCTTCAAGAGCATAGAGTGGAGATAAATGCTTTCTTAACTCTACGTAGGGATTTAAATTGATCATGTTAAAATAGTATTCTTTTTCAGTTTGATCATTTCTTTATGAAAAAAAAGAACTATTGGAATTTATTGGTTTGCAGATGATGGTGACTGTAAATATCTATACTTGAACGACAACTTGCGCTCTGTTTGGTGAAGAAGAACCCTGGCCTGAACAAAACATTTTGTTTTAATTGCCACATTTTTCAGATCACAGAGACAGTTCACCAAGTATAACTAAAATAGTTTTTAAAGTTGTGAGGGCTGGAAATATGCAAATTAGCTAACCTGACTTCCCTCAAAGTCAATAGCTTTATGGTAGTTGTGTGTCCCAACACACACCAAAATGTTGTGGCAACATTGGGACCCATAAAGCTCACATGCTGTAGACTAAAGTATATCTGTGCACCACAATCTAACAACTTTTTTTTTCATGGTGTACCAATTGTTTATTTTGATTCAGCAAAAACAAAAAAGCCTTTTTTTTTTACATTAACTTCTTTATATAGGATTTGACAATAAGTATACCACAAGAGTCAGGAAGTAAACCAACTTTGAAAAGGCTCAGATACATGGGAAAAAAATTGCAATGACAATAATGCTGAAGCCAATCTGATTGTAAAAAAAGCTCATTTATTACCCCACTTTTAGGAAAAAAATGTAAACCTTGCAAACACCTGTGTCCTGCATATTTTTTCTGAAGTGCATATTTTTAATGCAGCACTTAATACAAAGGTGGGTACAACTGGAGCAACCCGATTTTGGAGCAGCTGTGCATTACAACCAATTGGCTTCTGTGTTTAATTTTTAATTAACTCTTAACTAAACAAGCTGAAGGTAAATAAATCTGAATGGTTACTTGGTTACTATGCACAGCCAATCCCCCCCCCCCCCCCCCCCCACCACCACCACCACCACCACCACCAATGTGTTTTGTTAGGTTAATAGTAAAACTAAACATAATATACATTTTATAAATCTTATACTGGGCAAGGCAACACCTCTGCACTGCATTTTTTTAATCTTTCTGAAATGCATAATAATAACACAGAATTCAATACTTATATATTTTGTGAGGTTAAGAGGAAACTAAATTTCTTTTGTAATACACCAAAAAAGCTCATTAGTTTTCTGATTGACTTGTGTCAATGCATTTATGAGAAGCAGAAAACAGCTAGAGATACTTTTCATACACTTCATTCCTTATTTATATGAATTGTATGACACCCCCCCCCCCCCGCTCTAAACTGAAAGGTGATATCTTGATTGGCTGTTATAGGTTATAGCTATTTGCCCATGTTTGGTGCTATTTACATTGCTTTCTAAACTAACCCTGTAACACCTTAGTATTCTTTTTTAATGACAAGCAAACAATGGATAATTATAGTATTTTTGTTTACTACATGAGGTGATTGTAGCCCTATTTGTGCACTTGTGACAGAAACAATTGAGTACTGTCCGTGATACTTTTTTTATTTGCACTAACATACAATTTTGAGGACAAGCTTTCGGGGTATGTTCCCTTCTTCAAGGTCTAAGCAGTACTATTACAAATCACAAAAGTTTAAGCAGAATGTTAGAAGGGATTGAGAAAAAAAAAAAAAAATTGTTTTTTTTTCTTAATCCCTTCTAACATTCTGCTTAAACTTTGTGATTTGTAATAGTACTGCTTAGACCTTGAAGAAGGGGACATTCCCCGAAAGCTTGTCCTCAAAATTGTATGTTAGTGCAAATAAAAAAAGAATCACGGACAGTACTCAATTGTTTCTGTTTACTACATAAAAGATAAAAATATGCTTTTTAACCAAGCTGACACAATGGAATCAGACTCACCTGAGCACATGCTCCAATTTCTTTCTCTAGTAGCTTTTTTGTTTCCTTTTCCCAATAAGCCATTAAGGCTTCTCTGCTGAAGTTCACCGTTGGAGACTTTTCTGTTAAACTTTTTTTGCCTCATTCCAACAGGAAGGTTATGATCTGGTTCAATATCCTCCAATTCCCTTTCCAGTTCCTGGAGCTCCTCTGGTGAGAGGGAAGCCAGCAGCTCATCTTCATCAATATCTTCATATTTACTGATCTCTCTCCTGTATCCAAAGGTAGACATGGTCCCCTCAGGAGCTTTAGTGCTCTAAAGCCAGTCAACTTGAATATGTAGATAAGAAATACAAATGGAGAAAGAGCAGATAGCTTTGTTGTGTCTTCTGTACCTTGTGTGAGCTGCAACTGACACTTTAGATGAAAAGAGGCATAGCCTTTTAAGAAAGGCTAAATGGGTGTTCCTATAATACAAAGGGGGATGAAAGCATATTCTATTTCAGCCTCCAACGTCAGCTGGATGCAGAGACAGACACAAAGTGACATCACAAGTGAATGTCAGGCTTTCAGACTAAGGGATTAATTGCACACTAAATCTTACCATATAAAGTTTACACTGATGACCTAAAGATTTCCACACATTGATAAATTCTGTTCAATTTCTAATGAAATGCACTCATAGGTGGTTAGAATGATTACTGTTATTTTATCAGTGTTACCACAAAGCAAGAATGTTGGATTCCCATGGGAGCTCCCTTCCTACAAATTATGTACTAGTGCTCCATATGTTCATTGAGATTTTTACACACTAGATATTAGGGTTGATGTATCTTAAATTAGAAGAAGTTAAACTAAATGTCTTGTTTTTATTTACTAACTTGGTCTACAGTGCTATTATTTAGCCCTCATGCACACTGGACGTTTTTACAGCGGCTGTTTTTGGCTTTTGACATTTTTTTCTACAGCTAGTAAACCCCCCAGCATGTTTATCCTATGTGTTCATGCACACATAGACTGTTTTTGGCTGGGATGTTTTTTTGGCAGGAAGAAAAACCCAGGACTAGTGGGTTTCTAGAGAAGTTTTTTAGCTGTAAATATGCTCTAACGCTGAAAAACGCGGTAAAACGCTGCAAACCGGTGTTTTTGGACTTTTTTGGACAAAAAAAATAATTTTTGGGGGTCAAAAAGAGCTCTAAAAAACGCAAATGCGGCAAAATGCTGCTAATCGTGGCAAAACGCTGCTAAACACTAATGCAAAAATGCTAAAAAAGCTGAAAAACTCACATTTTTAACATGACTTTTACACAGCTAACCTTACCAGCGTTATCAAAACGTCAAGTGTGCATGAGGGCTAAGGAGCATTCTTTACAATTCTTATCAGCATTGGGCTTCAACCTGACCTATCAATAGTTTTAAAATAATGGATAAAAGGATAGACTGAAAGAACATAATTACTACCTACCTGTTCCTCCTGTTCCTGTTGTGAGCTACGGTAGCTGAAATAACTTTAGCGGCTGACATTTCGGGAGTGTCTGATGCTTGGCCCCCCTTTGTATGCTGTGGTTCTATCATTCAACCCCTACAGTATATCATTACAGGTCAAAGCAATGATTTTGGGGTGAGCAAATTGAACCACAGCACGCAGAGGGTAACCAGGCATGTTGGGTGCTGTAGTTTTTCAATGACTGGAACTCTTCAAGACAGCAAAGAATGGTGGTTCAGACTGCAAGTGAGCCAAGTATTAAGCATTTCCTGCACAGGCTGGCCTTTTTATAAATGTTTTTAACCAAATACCCTTATGTCACTTAAATGTGTGTCTGATAGAGACTGTATTTCTGTAAATGTTGTTCTCCTATCTGCTTCATGGCTGCCTGCTTTGAGTTTTAAATGTATTGCATTTCTAGTTAGTTCTGTGGGTTACTGTCTCTGAGCATTGTGAGTTAATGGTAGTTAATAGCAAGCGTGCATAGGACTGGGTATGACCAGCAGACCAGAAAATTTCAGCTAATAATGACCATGACACTCAAGCATGACACAGGTAGTATATTTACATGTTTTAGTTACTTTACACAGCTAGGGAGCAAAGTACATCATACTGTTAGAATGTTGAAGGATCCGTGTTAATATTCCTAGTCAGGGGCGGACTGACAACTCATGGGGCCCCCCGGACAATAGGAGATCATGGGGCCCCTGTATCCTTGCCCAAACTCAAAAAAGCCTATGAAAAAAAAAAAAAAAGGTACCAGGGGCATCACATGGGGCCCCCTACTGACCCCGGGGCCCTCGGGCAATGCCCGAGTTTCCAAATGGTCAGTCCGCCCCTGTTCCTAGTATTTCATACAACACACCTGTAAATAAATTATATAAATATTACAATTATTGTGGTACGTTGTAAACAATCTACCATATGATTTTTGAGTTCATTATTATGTTCCATTATTTTACTAAAGTTGTGATAATGTTTTCTGATGCAAATACTGATGCTGAGAAAGTGGCTTCCCAAAAACTGGATTTTATCTTCTGTATGCTGTATTTGTTCTATTCATTGAAACATGCCCAAAAAGAATAGCTGAAATGTGATTGGCTGCTATAAGCAACACCCTTTCTTTCAGTATATTATATATGAGGTACACTTCAGCCTTGATGGTTTCAAATATTAAGGGTTCAGGTGATATTATGGTAGTTCCTGTCTGTTTGCCTTACAAATAAACTATAGTTCTTACCTTATCAATACAATCAGGTCATACATTTTAATAGGGACTTTCCTTCTGGCTCCTGCATTAAGTGAGCAGTATGAATGAACTCCACAGAACCTGGCAGCAAAAGCCCAACAGCAAATACGCCCAAAGCCACACCAATCTGCCAGTGGATGAGTGCCCACTACATTTGATGGACTGGGCAGGGTATAAGGGCTTCAGAGCATATGACACTATTCCAAGACCAATGGGAAAAGACTCCTGTTTCCATACAGACAGCAAAAACGTACAGTGGATGTGCCCAGCCTAATTTCACCAATCATTCTGCTCCAGTTCACAGCCTCAGGTGCTGGGCTTGACAGAAATCTTCACAGAAGAAGCTTCCCATAATGAAAGTTAACTCGTACAGAAAAACTTTTCAAATCAAATATATTGTGATGTTTTTCCTCTTGGTTCACAATGAAAAAATCTAGCTACATTCAGGCCTCCAAAGTCTAACTGTAAGACCTAACACACCAAGGGGGAAACTTCATATATTCAACAATTTTTCAGAGATATCTAGTCTAGATTTTATTATGCCTGCTTTTCGGAGTATGTAAATATTTTTTTACTTATTAAAACGTGTTTATTTTGTTAAAAATCAAAATATATAGGATAGTTGAGAGAATAAGGGATGACATATGCATGCATATCACTAATACAAGTAAAGATGAGGAAAAGGTTCTCCCTTTGAAGTGATTTATAGGGAGGTTCTCTTTAAGGGGACTTCAGTCTTGGGTATAAATATAGATATATATATAAATTTATTACTTGTAATTGTGATACTATATATTAATATTGAAATTTGAGGTGGATGCATGCATATACATCTCCTTTAAGTATGAGATGTGTTGGAGTCTCCCTTTATATAATATGGTGAATATGGAATTGAGAATTATGAAGAAATACACTGGTTGACAAAGAATGTCGGGTAATATAGAGTTTCCTTTGTAGAACTTGACATTTGGGATTTTTTTAATTTATTTTTATTTTATTTTATAGTTTAATTTTGAGTTCAAATTTTATTTTGTAATGCTTTTAATATGCTTTTTAATAATTGTTTATTTGAATTATAATTTACTCATTATGATGTGTTTATATATAATTATAAAGGAAAAGATATATGTCCTAATTGATACTGTTATATCATGTAACCTCGCCAAGTGAGTGGTGGTGGGTTAGTACACCGCCACTGTTATTGGTCAGGAAGCGCCGCTATGCGTAAGTGCAAGCGGTGTGTTGTTGTTATTGCCGCTATTGGTTGAAAAGCACTATCATGCAGAGTGCAAGCGGTATATATAGGTTGCACTGACGTCTTGATCCATGCCGCTCCGTGAGGACGTCAGAGTGACGAAACGCGTAGGGCGGAGCTTATTGGATGACGTCAGGACGTTCCCTGGAGCTGTCGGCGAGGTGTCCGCGGTGAACGGGGCTCGTCCATTCCGTATATCTGATCGTTTGCTATACCAGTGTCAGGTGGACACTTTATTTTGTGAGTAGGATGCGATTGAAATAAAAGTTTTAATGGTTCTTACTTGCTGCACCATCATGCCTTTTCTTTATTTTTGAGTGATGTTACTATACATTTGGAGGATGATCGTTTTATAAGGAGTCTTGGCTATACCTCAAAATCACTGCAGAGTATTGTTCCTGCTATCTGGAAGTGTCTATATTATAGAGTGCTGCTTCATGATCTACTTATTCATCGCTCCCAGAGCAAACGCGCTTGTGCTGATTTATAATCTAATCAGCATTGAGCTCTGGTGAGTTTATTCCATTCATTTGGTGGTGGATAAAGCACGGTGGAATTACATGTTTAAAGAAGAAAATTTTCTGTTTTTTGGGTGTTGGACATTTTCTTCTATACACTTATATGCACGAAATTTATGGATTATTTTCACTGAAAAGTTTTTTGTATTTATAATGTTGGGACTTTTATACACATATTTGTGATATTAATTTTGATATATTTTAGCGCATTCCAATTGCTGATTTTTTATATTTTACCAATATTTTGGGTTAAAGGTTTGCTGCTGGAGAGGATTGATACTGTTGATTGGCGCTTTCTTTTTTTGTTTTCGTGTTTATTTTGTTACCTTGACTTCCACTTAAAGAGGCCATTTATATTAAAAAGGAGAGTATTTTAAAGGCCACTTTGATAACTTCCAGCGTAAAGAACTTGATACAAAAAAAAAGTTATCTAAAACCATTCTATTCACCTATGATATATAAAGTCGAATTGTTTATGGATTAGTTTAAGTCTTGATACGCTATAGAACTTTCTGGATTACTTAGGAGACCTCAATTTGCTTATGAGGACACTATAATACTAAGACCATTCATTGTGCAGTGAAGAAGTCTTAGCTTACACTAGAGAAAATTAAGTGTTTAGGTTTCTAATTACTAAGCAGAATTAGGAAAGAGGTACTGTTACTTATATTGTTCAGTGTATCCTGATAGAGTATGCGCCTGATACTGGAAAGTAGGGATTTTTTTCAGCTGGAACTTGACAGAATTCAGTTTCAGCATCTCTGGCCCAGGATCTCTGCCCCCTGCTCACCGCTATCACTTGTAAACACAGAAGTCCGGCTTCTGTGTTTACAAGTGACAACTTGTCTCCCGACGGCTTGTCTCCCGACGGCTCCCACAGCAGCTGTGGAAGAAGACTGAACTCTGTACTCTGTGCATAAACACCCCCTCCCCCCCAACTCTTCACTATGTATGTAATGCACTCCTGGTATTTAATGCCCCTTTAAGACCCTCACACATTTAGTGAAGTTGACCATACCCACTATTTGATGCATTGGGGGGGGGTTTGGGGGGTTGTGGTTGAGTTCCTGCACCTATCTTCTGAGGAAGAAACCCTGCACATAAGCATATGATTCAATCCTTTCTGATGAGGTCATGTGAAATCCTGTCTTTTTGTCATCTTCCATTTATCATTTCTATTCACAAACTTCACCTGGATACATATTACAAAGCTGTGGACTCTATAGGCTATGTCTAACCCCACTGAAAAATATGACATGTAACCACAACTCTGTATTTAGAAAACAATAAATATATATCCATATTGTGTGCTCCCTATATCAGTCCTTGCCCTATAGGGATTTATAGTGTAGTTGACTATCACAAACACGAACTCACATACACACACACTCTCTTTGGTTCCAATATACAAAGGAGCAAAAAAATATTTGAATTCTACTGTAACTTCATGCAGATAGCATCCTGGTCTGACTTGTATTTAGGAATCATGTGCTCAAAGATAGCGATGATAACCCATAATTTTTTATCACAGTTCATATCACTTGATGTTGGTTACAGTGGTTAAATAGTACCCTTTGTGACCAAAGTAGTTCTACTCAAACAGTCTGATTATTGAGTTGTACTATATATCCTTGGCCTTTTGCCAGTGAAGGGCAAAAAAAACTTTTTTAGGGTTGATTTATTAAAGGCAAATAGAAGGGAAGTTGGACTTTGCAGGAGGATTTCTCCAGAGATTACTGAATGAGTTGAAGCTCTGCTGACTTTCATCATCCAATCATTTTCAAGCAAAATTGTTTTTTTTTTTTCCCTGCAAGTGATTGGGTATTCTTTGCACCACATTCACAAAGCTATGGGAAAATTCCCTTGCAAAGTACAACTCCCTTGCAAAGTGAACAGCCTATTCACCTTAATTAATCAACCCATCGTGGCATCTGTAATCCTAGACTGAGAAAACATGCACTGGTGGTGCCTATCAAAGATCAGAGATGAAGAAAAACCCTGATATAAACTACCATAAAAATTACAAATGCAGAGCAGTAAGAGATGGAGACTTCTGCCAAAAAAACACTTTTGCTAGGTTTCTTGTAGCTACTTACAGTATCTCACAGAAGTGAGTACACCCCTCACATTTTTTGTAAATATTTTATTCTATCTTTTCATGTGACAACACTGACGAAATGACACTTTGCTACAATGTAAAGTAGTGAGTGCACAGCTTGTATAACAGTGTAAATTTGCTGTCCCCTCAAAATAACTCAACACATATCCATTAATGTCTAAACCGCTGGTAACAAAAGTGAAAATGTCCAAATTGGACCCAAAGGGGTTTATTTACTAAAGCTGGAGAGTTCAAAAATCAGACTCCCTTCTGCATAGAAACCAATCAGCTTCCAGGTTTCATTGTCAGAAAGCTTCATTGAACAAGCTGAGGTTAGAAGCTGATTGGTTTCTATGCAGAAGGGAGTCTGATTTTGGACTCTCCAGCTTTAGTAAATAAACCCCAAAGTGTCAATATTTTGTGTGGCCACCATTATTCCCAGCACTCAATCAGCAGAAATCTGCACTCTGTCACTAATGAAACCTACTACACCCAAAAGAATATACACCCAAAATATAAACATAGGAAAATAGTTGAAAAGTAAAAATGTCCAAAGTGTCTCTGAAGAAAATTCTTTCAAAATCCTCAAACACACTCGTATCCTTCTTCAGACATCCAAAATTGAATCTTCCAAAATCTTCATAAACCTCAAAAATATAAACTCATGATAGTGTATTACCCTTAAACTTAAACACCCATACAAACTTGTGAAAAACCGTGTATCATGCTAATGACATAATGTGTATTTACACGTGAGAAAAAAAAAACAATATACAAGATATGTGAATCGAACTCACAATGAATAAATATACTAAATGGTGATCAAAATCGTGACTATTCAACTACAAACTGTAAACATACGTGATCACTCTAAATAGTGAAATAATAAGTGAAATAGAACCCCAAAAACTAACGTGGGCACTACACACTTCATATTAGTGAAACATAGAAGTGATCTCCTTCAATTGGTGTAACAATGGATAACTCTGAGAATAAGTATCAAGCTATAACCAGTGGACATTAGTGAAACCCAAGTGATCTCCTCCAACTGGTGCAGCAAATGGATAATTACCCTCTGGAAATGAATGACAGACTTTGAACAATGGATAATATCACTCTCTAGACCTCCTACTGTTCCTGTGTCATTCTTCCATAGTCCTCATAAGGTGAAACAGAAGATAATCAGCATTATATAAAAATATCTTAAATCTTTATTAAGTATCTTACATTGTATTGGGAGAAAATCAGCTTCCAAACATCTACAATCGCTTTGGCATAGTCCTGTATGCAGGGAACCACATGTTCCAACTTCAAAAATGGCCATGTCCGCACTTCCGGTTTGCGTGAGACGTCACGTGTCCCAACAGAAGGCCAAGATATTCACCATCTAAACCAAATAAGTTTTACCTTAGTCTCATCAGACCACAGGACATGGTTCCAGTAATCCATGTCCTTAGTTTGCTTGTCTTCAGCAAACTGTTTGCAGGCTTTCTTGTGCATCAACTTTAGAAGAGGCTTCCTTCTGGGACGACAGCCATGCAGACCAATTTGGTCTGAGCACTGAAAGGCTGACCCCCACCCCTTCACCCTCGGCAGAAATGCTGGCAGCACTCATATGTCTATTTCCCAAAGACAACCTCTGGATCTGATGCTGAGCACGTGCACCCAACTTCTTTGGTTGACCATGGTGAGGCCGGTTCTGAGTGGAATCTGTCCTGTTAAACCACTGTATGGTCTTGGCCAGCATGCTGCAGCTCAGTTTCAGGGTCTTGGCAATCTTCTTATAGCCTAGGCCAGTGATGGCGAACCTTTTTGAGCCCGAGTGCCCAAACTGCAACCCAAAACCAACTTATTTCTTTCAAAGTGCCAACACTGCAATGAAACCTGAATATCGAGCTTTTGGTTTAGAAAAAACAACTCGTACAGTAGTGAAAACTAATTAACAGTACAGGGATGACCAGAGACTGCGGACACAGTACAGGGATGACCAGAGACTGCGGACAGTACAGGGATGACCAGAGACTGCGGACACAGTACAGGGATGACCAGAGACTGCAGACACAGTACAGGGATGACCAGAGACTGCAGACACAGTACAGGGATGACCAGAGACTGCAGACACAGTACAGGGATGACCAGAGACTGCAGACACAGTACAGGGATGACCAGAGACTGCAGACACAGTACAGGGATGACCAGAGACTGCGGACACAGTACAGGGATGACCAGAGACTGCGGACACAGTACAGGGGATGACCAGAGACTGCGGACACAGTACAGGGGATGACCAGAGACTGCGGACATAGTACAGGGATGACCAGAGACTGCGGACACAGTACAGGGATGACCAGAGACTGCGGACACAGTACAGGAGATGACCAGAGACTGCGGACATAGTACAGGAGATGACCAGAGACTGCGGACACGGTACAGGGATGACCAGAGACTGCAGACACAGTACAGGGATGACCAGAGACTGCAGACATAGTACAGGGGATGACCAGAGACTGCAGACACAGTACAGGGATGACCAGAGACTGCGGACACAGTACAGGGATGACCAGAGACTGCGGACACAGTACAGGGATGACCAGAGACTGCGGACACAGTACAGGAGATGACCAGAGACTGCGGACACAGTACAGGAGATGACCAGAGACTGCGGACACAGTACAGGAGATGACCAGAGACTGCAGACACAGTACAGGAGATGACCAGAGACTGCGGACAGTACAGGGGATGACCAGAGACTGCGGACAGCACAGGGATGACCAGAGACTGCGGACAGCACAGGGATGACCAGAGACTGCGGACAGCACAGGGATGACCAGAGACTGCGGACAGCACAGGGATGACCAGAGACTGCGGACAGCACAGGGATGACCAGAGACTGCGGACAGCACAGGGATGACCAGAGACTGCGGACAGCACAGGGATGACCAGAGACTGCGGACAGCACAGGGATGACCAGAGACTGCGGACAGCACAGGGATGACCAGAGACTGCGGACAGTACAGGGATGACCAGAGACTGCGGACAGTACAGGAGATGACCAGAGACTGCGGAAAGCACAGGGATGACCAGAGACTGCGGACAGTACAGTTGACTGCTGACCTTTGGGGAGGGAGGGGGAGCGGGTACCTGAATTTGACAGGTACCCGCTCTTACTTCCGCAGAGTTTTTTTTTTTTTATCTTACCTGTTCCTTTATCCAGCCGCGCGCTGTCTTCCCGGCTTCTGTAGTGTGGGCGCTCGTCGGACAGCCGGATGCCCAGTGCGCATGCGCGAGAAGCGCTGCGCTTTGTGATTGGTCCGGCGGCTTCTGGGATCTGTCATGTGTCCCAGGTACCGCCTTACCATTCACAAAGAGCACTGCTTCTTGCGCATGCGCACTTGGGACCCGGCTGTCACGCACACTACAGAAGCCAGGAAGACAGCGCGCCGCTGGATAGAGGGACAGGTACGGTCCCACTGCAGAGCTGAGCGGCCGGCCCGATATTCTAGAAATTCTGAAGGACCCTCTGCACACTGATATACCCTTTCAAGCAAACTATGCAACAAATAGGGATATTTGGTTCACACATATTGCAATACATGTTTAAGCTGGCCAACTGCGTCAAAGTAATCCCTCTATGGCCAGTCCTACTCTGCCCTGCCAACGCAAGTGCTACTGCGGACACAATGCTAGCATAGGGGAAAAGACACAATGGGGAGAGCTACAAGGTTCAGGTCTGGCTACTGACCCAACAATACAACAAACAAGAGATCCCTGTGCTCAAATCCATACAGCTAGTGCATGCATTTATCCATCAGGTGCTAAAGGGGTGTAACCACATTAACTCTAGAAATTCTGAAGGACCCTCTGCACACTGGTATATACCCTTTCAAGCAAACTATGTAGCTCTCCCCATTGTGTCTTTTCCCCTATGCTAGCATTGTGTCCGCAGTAGCACTTGCGTTGGCAGGGCAGAGTAGGACTGGCCATAGAGGGATTACTTTGACGCAGTTGGCCAGCTTAAACATGTATTGCAATATGTGTGAACCAAATATCCCTATTTGTTGCATAGTTTGCTTGAAAGGGTATATACCAGTGTGCAGAGGGTCCTTCAGAATTTCTAGAGTTAATGTGGTTACACCCCTTTAGCACCTGATGGATAAATGCATGCACTAGCTGTGTGGATTTGAGCACAGGGATCTCTTGTTTGCGGCCCGGTATTCTGACACGGCCGCGGTGGAAATACCGGACCAGCCGCTCTATATTCGCTCCATAAGACGCACTGACATTTTCCCCCCTTTTTTGGGGGAAAAAAAGTGCGTCTTATGGAGCGAAAAATACGGTATTCTCCTGGCGTGCCCACAGATAAGGCTCGGCGTGCCGGCTGTGGCACGCGTGCCACGGGTTCGCCATCACTGGCCTAGGCCATCTTTATGTAGAGCAATAATTCCTTTTTTTAGATCCTCAGAGAGTTCTTTGCCATGATGTGCCATTTTGAACTTCCAGTGACCAGTATGAGAGAGTGAGAGCGATAACACCAAATTTAACACACCTGCTCCCATTCACACCTGAGACCTTGTAACACTAACGAGTCACTTGAGGGAAAATGGCTAATTGGGCCCAATTTGGAAATTTTCACTTAGGTGCCAGCGGTTTAGACTTTAATGGCTGTGTGTTGAGTTATTTTGAGGGGACTGCAAATTTACACTGTTATACAATCTGTACATTGTAGCAAAGTGCAATTTCTTCAGTTTTGTCACATGAAAAGATATAATAAAATATTTACAAAAATGTGAGGGGTGTATTCACTTCTGTGAGATACTGTAGTTGTGCATCAGCTTTATCATTTCTATGGGAAGTCCAATAGATGTACAAACCTGATAAATACTATATTAATTTTACCCTGTATTTCATAGCCCACCAGAACTGAGCGCTGTTTGGCTGCTTTCTATAGAATTTATACAGTCTCCTACAGCTACTGTTAAGGCTCTACCTTCCAAAACATTTGATTTAGGTGCTTTTTTAGTTATCTATAATTTTTTATTCAAATACTATTAAAGTGGAATTCCACTCAAATTCTGAATAAGCCTTAACCTACTCCCACCCCTATTCTAAGACTATCTTATCTGCCTTGTAAAAGAAAAGATGTCTATATTTACCTAATCTGAAGCCACTCAATTCCGGTCACATAATCTGGTCCCAGAGCTGGCTTCAGTGTAAAGGAGAGGCAGCGACAGTGGCTGCAGTGTGATGATGTCACCCATAGGCTTACTATAAGGCATCTTGTTGGCTGTCCCTCCTCTAAGCTAAAACCAGCACTAGGACCCAATCATGTGACCAGAGCGGAGTGGCTTCAGAATAGGTAAGTATAGTCATCTTTTGTTTTACAGGGTAGATTGAATAGTCTTAGAATGGGTGTGGAAGTAGATTTAGGCTTAGTTAAAATTTGACTGGATTTCCACTTTAAAACTGAAATCATCTACGTATAGACCTGCTTCATTTTAATCTACTCCACAACTCCTAAAGCAAAGCTGCATTTATTGCAAAATACTGAAACTAAAAGTAATAACCAATTTTTGTGGGGCCTGGGCAGAGGAGGTATATAGTGCATGATGTCTGAGTGACCTATCACCTTCACCAAGCTCATATGCTGATACATGGAAGGTATAGGAAATGCTTAAGTCTAATGCATAAACCGCATTTTAAAAAGCTGTTATCTGTATAGCATATCAGATGCTTTAGATCAGCTTTTTTCAACCAGGGTGCCCAGAGGTTTCTTCAGGGGTGCCTTGGCAAAATGTCTAAAAATTGCCCCAAAATTGTATACAAGCCAACAGGTGGAACAAGCCTGCCTTTTAGTTACACAAAGCTACAAGTTTTTATTGTGCAGCATTATGACCTTCTAGCCACCGGTGTCCTGACAACCAATGACATCATCAGGTGATGAGGAGGATGTCAGCTGCCTGCACAGCATCCTACTCTGACCCTCCCCTGCCCCTCTCCATCAGTGCTGGGGTCACATTAGCTCAGTGATGGAGAAAACCTTAGGGAGAAGAGAAACACTGGGATACTAGTCAGTACCAGTTTATTTGCTTTGGAAGAATAAATCACCTCTAATGTTGGGTGTCCTACATGTGTGGATGTTGCTGTATTATATAAAACTATTAGAATAGATTTTCACATTTTAGAAAGGGGTGTCCTTTTAAAATTACGGACACTCTTGAGGCACCCCATTTTAGAATGGGGTACCTCAAGACTGTCCATAAATTTAAAGGGTGCCTTGACTGAAAAAAGGTTGAGAAACACTGCTTTAGAATATGGTTTGAAAGGGTTTTTCAGTAACACTGAAGGAATATTTTTGCATCTTATAGTGTATGCTATACAGTTCCACTTTTGGTTTCAACAATTTAACTTGAGTACATGTACATTTTAAAGTGTGCAGAGAATACAATGTTCTGTATTTAATTCTCAGTAGTCGTTAGGGCCACTTAATGTACATTGAAGAAGAACACCATGTTTGTCTTCATTGTTAAAGTACATTTTGAGGACAGAAAGATCTCAAATGGCTTTAGATTGTTTAATAATGTATTACAACTTTGAAGTGCTCTGGAAAAGTGTCTGATTTCTGGAAACCAATTTAAGAATTTATAGCATCTTCTGATATGATCACAGTGATGTCAGTGACACAGAAAACACACTATGTAGAAGAACAGACAAGCTTTGAATTTCTTAGTACAATTCTCTGCAATTGACAAGGTCAGATGCAACAAGCCAAAAGTGTCCTTGAAACATTGCTGTGCTTTATATTAACATGGCAATAATTCAACAGTTTACTGTGCGTTTATGTACTGTTAATATATTCAGCTAGAATATAAAAAATGTGCTGCAGTATTCCATTTTAAATGCATTTACACTGTTTCCCCTGCAAAGTCTCACAAATACATGTTAAAGCTGATATCTGGGATGAGCAAATATGGTCTAATAACAAGAGGCATGTGTATTTTTACTTGAATGCTGGTGTGCTATGTGTATTTCTAGCAAATATGTGCAGTAATTAATTGTGGAATTCTACCTGTGCGGTAGGTTTCTGTAATAAGCTTTCTCTATTTGTGCTGGGTGATTGGTTTTGAACCCGCTCCCTCTGACAGAAATCTGCAGGCAACCTGCAGTGAGTGGCCCTTCTGGGTCTCTCCCACAGCTCTGCTCTCTGTACAGGCTATGCACAGTCCAGTGATGATGTCACTGCTACTTTTACAAAGTAATATCTGGGTTTGTGAAAGCATTTGGTACATACAAAGTGGGTTTATATTCTTTGTGGCTATTAAGAAATATATTTGAATGAAAGTTTTAATGCCTGGAGTTCAGCTTTATTTTCTGCCATTGAAGAACCATCTAATGCAGATTCCTGTGATTAAAGGGAGGGGGTAACACTGCTGCAATGCTACTAAATGCAGAGCAGTGCTGTCCCTTATTTGAGCCCTGGCTGCTTGCACTACAGTAGCATGAGAAGCTGTTGCAGGTGGTATGGCTATCAACATTGTCACTGCTGATTCATAAGCCTGTAACTTGTCAACCATCAGTTGTCCACACCTAGCCCTGCCTACTGCTTTCTGGATTGGCAGAACCAACTGTTCTGCAAAAATCCTACCACTTTTATCAGCAGTGTCTGGGAGGAAGACATGTAAGGCAAGAATGCAGGAGGATTTGGGAGGTAAATTAAGTTTTTTTTTATTATTTATGAATCTCTTGCATCACATAGTAACTGG